AAAAGTTAGCTGTCAAAACGGCCAGAACTTTCCTTACAACCTAATATTATAGGTGTTGGCTGAGACTTAGCTTTGATATTAATAGATTACTGTGATTACATTACCACCTACCTTTCACCGAACACATGAATTCTAAAAGACTTGCACATATCATGAAAACTGAAAGTTCCCTTCCAACAACACAATGTTCGTACACTTGTAATTCAACATTCAGATTGATCGTGAAGGTTATCACATCAGAAGCATTAAATTTGCATTTAAGGTGAGAATGCTAGTTGAAAACGATATTCATTTATGGGTATATTATCTAGTTATACTTATAGCATCAGTCGACCATGTATCGTGGTACCACAAATTGATGAGTGGCTTTGCTGAAAATGATTCTTTGAGTAATTGTAGGTAGACAGAAAGAATGAAAAATGTATGATGTGAAACTAACTGTGTAGTACTGCAGTACTGTAGTACCTGCTGGGGTTTCATTTTACAGACCGGCAAATTGTGACTGTTCTCCAGAAGCCATTCGTTTTCCAAATCTGGAAATATTGTTAAATAAGTGTTCTTGCATGTCGCATGTTTAAGAGTTGCGAAATTCAAGCTGATCTGCTTTAGTATTTACTGATTGCAATTTAATTGTTAGAAAAATCACCACAAGTTGTTCGTTCCTCCTAATTGCCCACTTTTTGTTCAAAACTCTGCAAGTATTGGAATCAAGAGCTTACTCAAGAAAAATATCTGGATGCTAGTGATGTAGGAATCGAGCTCGTTAGACGGGAAGTGCATATTCTATAGGACCCCTCGGTGCCCCTCGGTGAACGATAGGGGACGGATCTTCATGAGAGACTCTTAACAGTTGAGGAAAAAAGTGGGACTTGGTGTTGTTCTCTGTTTTTATATCGAGCTACTAAGGCGCCAAATTGATAGGTGCAGTGGATCCACTTCACTGAATTGATTGTGCAGCTTCTTGAGATGATGCCATGCAAGAGAAGTAACCATTTTACAATTAGTCACTAGGGTAGTTACGATGAAACAGTTTGATTCGGCTCCCATTCGTAAAGATAGTTGCCATCGAGAATCTAGCACCTGAATTTTCGTTGTTTGCCAAGTGACACGCCTGATCGTACAGAAAGTGACACACCATAGACAAAGCAATATCATCGATAAAAAGTGGTCGACTTTTCGTTTGGTACTCTTTCAGGCAATCGGTGAAGTTGCTGACAACATTTTACTCAGTGNGATGGGGTCTTTGAGAAGAGGAAGACGCCATCAAAGGAGTTGTTGGTCAGCAGAACGTTACACTCTTTCAAGCTGAGATTATACGAGAGCGTTTTCCTAGGGTCGACGACGACAGAACTCTCTCTTGAGGGAAAAAGCTGTAACATTATCGATTTTAGTCTGCTTTACGGCGAGTCAGCAGACAGGAACTAAATTGGTCCTCAGAAGCTCACCCTCTACAGTTCACTCTAGATTGTACCTTAATACTTTGGCGTGACTTCATGGACGTAGAAATTGCCGGTTAGACCTTACCTAACCATGCTTGATCTGTCCATTGGCGCTCGCTTACCAAAACGAACCATCGAGCTACGATCCATTGGGGCACGTTTACCAAATCTGTGAAGTAAGTAATCAGTATACTTCCTATTGGTGTGAATTTCGCAATACTAATATTCATGCAGAATTGATTTCCGTTACACTCACCGTACCATCGCCGAGCGATCCATAGGAGCGCGTCCGAACCTGACCATCGCGGAACGATCCATTGGAGCTCTCTTTCCGAATCTGAATATGGATGAGGCGACTCCCTCAGCAAACCACTGTCAAGAGGCAAGCCATAACACAAAGTTTGTGCAGTAACCCGGAAAGGGTGCGATACTTCGAGCAAAAGCTCTAGCTCTAAAAGACTCCCAAACCTGAAACAATGCTTTCAAAGAGTCGATCCATTATACCGCCTAGAGCCTCGTTCATTACTCCCATGTGATATGATTCGCTTCAAAGCAGCGGCGAAAACAGCAGTTGTCAAAGTCAACCCTGCGAAACTGTCTGGTCCAGCCTCTGCACGTGAGGGGTCGGTGTATGGGCATTCAGTCCACTATAGCTCAACTTTTAGAATTAACGGCACTATCTGACATGGTAAAGTGCCTTAAATTGCCATATGTACAGACATGACGATGTTGCACAGTGGTCTGATTTACTTCTGAACTATTTATTTGTGTCTATATGATTTTTCAACTCAGCTATGTTCTTGATCACCAACAGCAATGCGAGCTGCAAAATTTACGATTAGAGTTTTCGCTGATTGAAGCCCTTAACTCGAGAGCTCCAGACAGCTACGAGTAGGGCGCTCCATGGCCGGAAAGCCAATGTGCGGGATAAATCGACAGGTACTGATACAACTCTGGCAGGATCACCCGAGCCATAAAACCCGCAAGCTATCTGGCAAGAGCTAATTTTCATTCATTCTCAATTTGTGATAGTCCGAAATGGGACTAACTCACCTGAAGTATGGGTAGAAAACATCACGTGTATCACCTGTCGTCCCGTTTATCACCGACTTCCTCGAGCGAGCGCCAGAAACGTCTCCATTCGTCCAGGTCACGAGCTGGAGTGGTTCTGTGAATCGTCCTGGCACCAGAGGCCTGAGGTCGAACATCCCTTTCATTCAGAGCTTTCGTGAACAAGTCTAACCATCCCGTTGGCTGCGGTCCTGAAGTTTGTTCCGAAGGATCCAGTCGGTAACCGCCCTGGCTAACGGTTATCAGTGTATCGCATGTGTCGGGCCCACCTGATCTTCGATTTCTTGGCCTAATCAACGACAACCCTAATGACGGAGCTCGGAACCCCGATTTCCTTTGCTGCCATTTAAATTGTGATAGTGTGCATAAACAGAGAAGTGCAGAGGATCTTCATTTTCAAAGCGCATTGAGTAACGCTGACAGCATGCTCATCCTGCCTTCGTAGACTCCAGGTCTCCGAGGCGTACGTCAAAGCAGGAAGGACAGCAATGTCCAAAGGTGAGCGCCAAGCCAAACGTTCTTTATCTTCTTTACTACTCGCTTGATATTTTTGAATGCTCCCCATGCAGCGAATTTCCTTCTTCATAGCTCCGGAGCCAAGTCGTTCATCATGTTGACTCCCCGACCTAATTGCTCATAGCTAGAGCACTCGGGGATATTCGTTTCGTTCAGTGTAAAGGAAGCTCGGGGAGCAATCAGTTTTCATGAACATCGTCTTCGTTAAGTTCAGTTTCAAGCCGATTTTTCCACAGGCACTGTCAAACTCGGTCAGCATCTGTTCCGCCTGCTCGATGTTGGGTGTTATAAGCACGATGTCGTCTGCAAAGCAGAGATGATGCAAATAGCAGCCGTCGACCTTGAGTTCCATGTCTTCCCATTCCATATGACGCGTTTTTGAGAGCGACACTGAAAGGTTCGGGCGAAATGATATTGTCTGCCGGACCCTCTCTTCACGATGATGATGATCTTCATAGAATGGCTAGATCCTGGTCGTGAAGTTGTCGTAGAGCTCACGAAGCTTGTATATTGAGTAGGAACACCCTGGTTGCCCTAGGCTTCAATTACAGCTCCTGTCTCGACGGTATCAAAGGCTTTCTCCAAATCGATGGAAGTAAGACACAATGGCATTTTGTACTCTCGCGATACTTCAATGAGTCTTGTAAGAATGTGGATATGATCGATTCTACTGAACCCTCTTCAGAAACCTTGCTTGCTGTCATGGCTGTCCTTCATCTTATATTGGGCCAATCCTGTTCAGTATGAAAAGCTTGTAGATTGCAGGCAGCGGACAGACTGAACTGGACGATAACTGCTAATATCGTCTGGATCTCTCTTTTTATACAGCACCACAGTCTTGCTATTATAGTTTTCGCGACGCGGACACTTTGTGTTTCGAAGGTACCGCATGAAAAGCCTAGCTAGAGTTCTGGTGATAACTGGTGGAAGACTCTTTAGATGTTATGGTTTGGTCCTATCGGTACCGGGAGCCACACGATTTTTTTATCGACGTGATGGCATGTAAAATTTCGGTAGGGAGAACCGAAGGAGCAATACATTCGTTTTGCCTAAAATGGTAGATAGGCAGGTAGAGTTAGCTGTCAAAGAGATTCGAGTAGAACTCATATATGACCTTCTCCATCACGATGCATTAACAACTCCATCAGAACGACGAAGGGAGGTCATCTTGGTCTTGTAGTTGGCGAAGCTCCGACGGGCCTTACGAATGGTATTTCCGGCCTCGGCGGCTTCGTCCATAACTGGTGCTCTTCTCTCTTTCAGATCTTCAGTATCGCTTCGCTGCATTGCTTCGCAAATTAGGACGTTAGCTGTTTGTTGCCTGCCGCTGGTGCGATTCCACGCTGGCGTAACAGCTCGCGAACCTCCGAAGGAAGTTGTTTCTTCTTTACTTGTAAACTCTCTGCTTTCCTAGCACTATCGTGAAGATATTCTACAAGTCGGTTGTATTCTTCATCGATGTTATCGATAACGGAATCATCCCGACTTTCATCAACTGGGACCACGACGCTTCCCTCGCGAGGGAAGCGTCGTGGTCCCAGTTGATGAAAGTCNGACTTTCATCAACTGGGACCACGACGCTTCCCTCGCGAGGGAAGCGTCGTGGTCCCAGTTGATGAAAGTCTTGGGGCTTTGTTTCCTAAACTTCATAGTTCTCTCTCCACTTATTGAGAAGCAGAATCTATGCGGAAAAGACGATGGTCCGATCCATGTAGAACATCAGTACAACAGCGGTATAAGCCAGGCATGTTCCGATTAAGGAGGATAAGGGGTCTATTTTATTAATTAACTGTCCACCGGGTGACTCCCATGTTCATCGTAAAAGAGAGAGCTTTTGGAACTGCGTGTTGCCGTGGATGGTGTGGGTCGACATAATAAACTCAGACAGCCTTTCGCCCCGCTCATTCCACTCCATTCCGTAAATCCCGTTGCGGAGCTCTTCGGCCGTTCTTTTAGGGCCAGGCTTGGCGTCTTGTCGTTGAAATCACCGATGGTGACCTTGAAGGAGGTATGGTCTTCTCCGTAGAGCCTCTACAGATCCATATAGAACGTTTCCACTTCTTCGTAGTCTGATGTTCGTGCGTAGGCAACGAAGATACTTGGCGCTGGGATTAATCCACATCTTCTTAATTGCAAAGTCCGATTTGGGTTGTTAAGCTTTCATACGAACCGATGTTCATGGTCGAGTGCGTACTCACGAGGACACCTACGCCGCCGACGCCTATGCTGTCAAATGTTCTAAGGAACAGTTCTTCTTCATCTCAAACACGGCGGGTGATGCCTTCTCGTCTCGGTCAGTCCAATGATGTCGGATTTGATCCCCTAGCTAACATCATCGGGCCTTTTATACACGCTTCCGATGTAAGCTTCCGTGCGTTGAAAGTACAGATCCCCATCTTAGTTATTCTCTTTTTGGGAGCCTGTATCGACCCTGCAATTTTAGAAGCCTCTGGTCCTACCCAACGCTTCCGTATAGGGGGAGCTCCCTCAGGTTGAGGGAAGTGAGGCCCACTTGTTTTACTCTTTTGGGGAATGAATACCCAACGTGTAGCTTGCCAGGCTCTGACGTAGCTGCTGGGTTAACTCCGAGGGCTTGCCAGGCTATCATGGAGCTTGGACGAGGGGTCTTGTTTTTGGAAGCGGCCCCGAATCGCCTCCCAGATGCTTCCCAATCACTCGAATGTGAGCTTTTGGCTGAGTCTATGGGCAGAATACCAACTGCACCCACAGACTCTCCACACACGAATGCGTGGATACACCTGCGAGTAACAGACGGTCTATCGACCAGCACAGCAGAATCAGGGAGTCCGACCCCTAAATCCACCTGCGTCTCTGGGCAGGTACTGGCGACTTTTGGTCGGTGATTAATTCCCCTATCCGCCACCTGGGGTCGCCTTAGGTAGCCTCATCGCTAACCGGCTTTTAGTGAGAGAAAACCCTCAGTGAAGGAGATCCGTAAGGTAGAAAACGTAGTTCGAAAGACTGTAGCGTTTTCTCCCACAAAATGTTCTCAAAACAGATCAACTCGATTGAGCGAATGTATAACAATATTTGTGAAATCACCACTATATTATTCTCTGTTTAAAGCATTCAGATAACATGACTCGTTCTAAGATTTCCCGTCTTGTGATATTCAGTATTCCAAGGCTACATACCAAGGTTGTTAACCATTTGCCTTGGCACCGCTAGTAATATTAGAATGTAAAATGAGACATGAAAGCGTTATTACTGTCTCATAAACCTTCACATAACTCTTAATGAGAAGTATTGTGTTATGCAGTAACCCTCAAAGTAGCTCATTATTCTAAGATTGTCAGCTAGATAAGAGCGACAAGTTATGCGCATAGTGATGTCGTCACTTACATGAGGAAGCGTCATCGTTCAGATGGAGGACCTTCGCTTGGCCACGCATTCGAGAGTAGAAAATGTACGACACGTTGAGTTTATTAGATGGTCATGAGTCACAGGGTGTTAAGGGTGAAGCGGGTAGCGCCTATGAACGGTATGTATAGAAGTAACTGCTTGATTTCATGTTCATGCCGCATTGCGAACTTAGAAATTGGTATTCTAAGGCAGACTACATTGCTCTATAGTACAGATTAGAACGAATGAGCAGTGATTACAAATGCGTTTAACTTGTTTTTTCGAAAGCACAGTAGTTTGTGTCAGAATTTTGAGATCTGTACATCTTTCGGCGCCATTGAAAATCTCTTTAATTCGAGAACATATCATTTCTTATTAGCGATGAGGAAGGTATTTGACTCCACTAGACCGTAACGTACCAGGAACATAAGAGACATTCCTGGACTCAACTTGATTTTCACTATTGGATAGGATTGGAGAGCTAGAAGTGGAAATTGGTCACTCCGCAAGTCCTGTCCATGAGAAGAACAAATATTCATCTCCTTGACTGCGTAATAAATGTTCCTCTAAAATGATAGGAAAAAACCAGCGCACTCTTTTCATCATTCACTTTAATATGTATTATACCATCCATGCATTTTTGAAATTGAGAACAAAGTTACCAATTAAAGTGGAGTTTTCACGATGCAAAAATACATATCTTCAAGGAACACCCTGATTGCCGAGAAACTCAATATCAACTCCTCTTCGTAATGGAATCTAGAAAGAATAAAATCAAAAATTTTTCATATATCTAGTTTCCTCACAAGCAGAGCTTTTCGCTAATCTTATTTTCGACTTGATTGAAGCACTCCGACAAAACTCATGGGAAAGCGACGGTTTGCAACGGACCGCTCCAAACGGACTGAGCTGTCGCAAACTATCGGTTAACCAGGGGTGGTTAATTCTACTCCATANACGAACAGTAGCGAATATGTATGTGGGTAAACGTGAAGGACAATCATTCCAATCTGCATCAAAGGCAATGAAAAACAGTCGCACCGCATTTCTGAGGTCTGCCACACTTTTTTACCATTGCTTGAACCTGGGAATCACAGCAGTAGACTATTTCTGGCATTTTGAATTAATCGCAAAATGCCAGAAATGGTCTACTTTTCAGACACCGCGAGCGGGCATGGGTACCGTCCTGTGATTCGAACTGCGCGCGGCAAAATTCATAGCGATTTTGACGACTTTAACGCCTAATATTGGGGTACGAACTTGAGGTCGAGTCAATTAGTATGGTCAGCTGATCCTACTAATTTACTCTACTTCAAATTTGGCCTTTTTGAC